AACCGCTACCCTCCCAATGTTTTTGACAGCTGCCATCAGCCCCAGTCAGCATGACTGCTTTGTTTGGTGCTTGTCTCACCGAAAGGAGTTAGGATCCCAGTCCCATATACAAACCACAGATCTATGCTGTCATCTTTTATTATCCTACCATGATTAAATTATTTTCAGGTGTCTCTTTTCAAATGACCTTCCCCTCCTGCTCCTAACCAAGAGACACCAATTGCCCTCCCTCCCTCCCTCCCTCCCTCCCTCCCTCCTGACAGACAGGTCTCAAAGCCATGGACAGATATACTTAACGGGAAAGCAAGTACACCCCAATACTGAGAATATGAGCAAGAGGCAGATGTTCTACTCACCCACAGAGACCGTAAGGACTTCAGCAAGTTTGGGCAGTAATAATACTCCATTCTCACCAGAAGATGGAAAGAAAGTGTGCTCCCCCACCTCCGTTTGTTTTGCTCTTCAGTAGAAAGTCATAAGCATTTCAGCCCAATTAAAGGCACCATGAATAATTCAGAGAGCTGCTCAATAGGAGGAAAGGATCTGTGCACCGTCTGTCCCTTTAACGGGTGGGGGTGCTGGTGCTAAAGCCACTTCCAAGCCTATTTACATTAACCAACAAGTGCTAGTAGATCACCAGCAAGAGTGCAGCTGCAATTTCAATTTCCAATTATACTTCTGACCAAAACTTCTTTTTCTGAAAAAGGCCTGTTGAGCGGATACAGGCTGCAGTATATGGCAAAAGGAGCAGCCCTTGCTTTGTGGCTGACTGACCTCATTTCCCCTGAGCTGCAGACCACAAAAGGGGGTGGGGGAGAGGAACAGGCTTAGCATAAAAACACTTTTCAAATTAAAGAAGGGGATAAAACTATTCTAGAGCATGGAATAGTCCTGCGCTCCTCTGATGACCAGCAGCACTTGCAAACTAAGAACCAGCAGTAAACCCTACAAATTATTCATCAGCTGCTCTGTGTTCCTCTGCATGCAGCTTCCTGAGCAAAGGCTGTGAGAAGGAGGAGGAGAACAGCTTTGCCACCTCTCAAGATCTCAGGTGTATGAGAAGAGGAAGAGGCGAAAGAGAGGTCAAGATGCTGCTGCCCACACTTCTTTGAGTCACAGACTGCAACCTGCTTAACCTTGGGAGCCTTGCCCTACTCAATGGGGTTTACTTCTGAGTAGACTTGCGCAGGACTGCAAGAGCAGCCAGGGCCAGATGAAGACCTTGAGAGGCCCTAAGCACTGGAAAGATTCTGCCCCCAAATATGTAACTCAAAATAAAAGCAATACTAAACCATAAAATAAACACATGAGATGATCTGATTTCCTCTTATTATTTCAATCTACATTAGTAAGACACAACCCTGGTTCATGTAGGTGCGGGTGAGTAATAAAAAGAGAACGCGAAAGGGGGGAAAGAGGGTGCAATGCCGTGTAAGGAAGTTTTACAAAGTTCTCCTTTTTCCCATGATAATGATGACTTCAACACTTTTTCTTAAATATCAAATGTTAAGTTCTTCTTTTTTAAAAAAAAATCACATTTTTGGGGGTGCCCCTGCTTTGCTGGTGCCCTAAGCAAATGCTCATCTGCCTGCTAGGTAATCCAGGACTGCCGGCAGCCTCCCCTGCTTACCTAAATATAAGTGCTGTAAGTCAGCACCCAGAACCTTGGGCACAAGGTAAGCAGCAGTTCTTACAACAACAGCTGAGCAGGAGCCGCCCCCCCCCCCGAGGACTTCATCTGACAGCAGTGGATGTGGGGAGGGCTGTGTGGAAGCAAGAGTTTGCAGGTAAGACTTGGGGGGGGTGTCATTGCAAAAGGCAGAATTGCCTATCCTGTTTTTCAGGTGCAACCAGCTGACACAGATTAGCCCTTTCCAGGGCTGGGATTAGCGTGAGGAAATCTGGACTCCCACAAAGATTAAGCCCTGTTATGATTAAAGTCATCTACTTCCATCAGCCAATCCCAGTGTGCAGTGCTGGGTTCATAGGGAAAAGACAATCGTGCACTTGGTGTATTGAAGCAAGAATAGGAGAGCTCACACCATATGAGGGCACAGGTTGGAGCACACAAATGAAAACCAAGAGACTTTTAAGTGAAATGAGGGGGGGGCACACACAATGCCCCGTGCATTGTCTGTGCCCCGCTGGATTTTGTCGGCTGCAGACAACATGGCCAATGGTCAGAGATTAGGGAAGCTGGAGACCAACATTGGGCAGTGGGGAGGACAGTTTCCAGTATTCACCTCTCTCCCACAGAACATATAAAAATCATCATAATCTCATGATTTCCCTTTTCAGCAACAGTGCAACATTATGATGAAAGCAAAACCCCAAATCCACCCCCTTGTCATTACCCCTTAATGTAAGGAGATGGAATTTCATATTGTTATTAAGAATATTTTTTAACGATTGAAATTGGGTGACGTTTCAAGGGTTTGGCTCAACCTGTTGTTTAAAAAGGTGGGTTCTTTTAACACACACACACACACACACACACTTGAGCGATAAGGTTTTAAAGGGAACAAAAATGGGTACCTTGCCCAGAATGAATGGATAAAATGTTGAAACGCCAATGTGGTGGCACCATTTAGGACTGACACACACCAAGCACAATACAAACATACCTTGGCTTCCCATTAGTAAGAATCTCACTACCAGACAAGAGATTGATTTACTCAGAAGACAGTGAGCCAGATTTTATATTGTCTCCTAGCTTTTCAAACTGGGATTCCACCAAGGCACATCAGAGCTCTGCCACAAGAAGGCTGATAGTCACAGACAAGTTATCAGACAACCACTGTTCCTGGTCTTCCCCTGTTAACATGAAGCTCCAAGGGATGCTGGGTATGTTTCAGGGCAACCTCGCAGGACAACAATAATGCCCAATAAAGTTTACAGGCATCCCCCCTCCCCGAGACTGGATCCTAGAAAGCACTCCCCCATCTCTTACCCATGCACGGACATCACAACATGGACATGACAAGAGTCCCCCACCTGCCAAAGTTAGCACAACTTCCCCAGTCTTAGTACTCCATTGCTAGCAGCTGCTGAAAAAAGCATACAATTTTCTAAAAGCAATCCTTTCAGTCACCACATGGTGGAGTTGAACACCCAGGTGATCAGCAAATCTTTGATTTAAAGCACACTTTTGAGTTTCCTATTTGCAGGCACAACTCTGAAAAGCTTCCTCCTCAAGGATAAGCACTTAACTGCCAGTTTACTACTGTCACCAGCGTCCCATAACCCATCAGACACTGTTCCTGTCCTTTCATCAATGCTGATCAACAGCAGCACCAAATAACACCAACTTCCACCTCTGCTGTTTATGCACTAGCACCTCAGAATTCAAAATTCAAAAACAGAACACTTAATTCTGAAAGGGAGAGACTGGAATGAATATGAAGCAACACTTGCGCCTCACACAGTGAGATATCATTCCCAGCCACAACATTTAATATGCTTTAGCCCCTTTTCTGGGACAGGCACCTGTTTCAAATGAGTTCTGCACCATGGTCAATTTCATAAGGTAATGGAGAAGGAATGGCATTGATTGCAGGCATTCTGGCAATTATTTTCAAATACTTGCCTCTTAATTTCACCTCATACATCCAATTATAGGTAGTTACAACAACTCACAAAAGCTTTATTTATTTACTATTAAATTCATCCTTCATCCAAAGATCCTAGGGCAGTTCACAACAGAAAAATACAAAAAGAAAATATAAAATATATAACAAAGACAAAACAAACCAATAATCTCACTTCCACAAACACATTTCAAAAGCTACAGAATGTTAATCAGCCCAAGGCCTGGTTGAAGAGAAACGTTTTTGCCTGGTGCCTAATGGTAGTCAATGAATGAGCCAGGTGAGTCTCCCATGGGCATCCCACAAATGAGGAGCTGCTGCAGTAGCCTTTAAGATGACAGCAGGCTCACTAAGTCTTGCCTTTGAGTAAAAGACTAACTGCATGGCTGTTTCTTAGGTTCAGTATTCCAACTCTCAAGAGGGTTTCTAGATAGTGATAATTCAAAGTAGCCAGCAGAAAACTTCTGATTGCCTTTTGGTTTTTTGAAATCTGGCTTTACTTTTTAGATATTTTCAAACTAAAACCTATTCTGTGCACATTATATATATATATATATATATATATATATATATATATATATATGCTTTCGTAGATTTTCACGGGTACAGGAATGCAGGTTTTGGTGTCCTCGGGTGTCTTCCCGTGTAAAAGTTGGGGTGTCTAGGCGACGTTTCGACGAGGTCTCGACGAGGTCTGAAGATGACGAGTGAGACCTCGTCGAAACGTCGCCTAGACACCCCAACTTTTACACGGGAAGACACCCGAGGACACCAAAACCTGCATATATATATATATATATGAGAAAGGTTCAAAATGAATTGCATATTTCACAATGTTTGGGGTGCAGTGCGGATATTCTCTACATCTATGAATAGAAGGGGAAAGTACCAAGCAAATTTGTCTACCAGATGACTCAAGACTAAAGTATGCTTTTATCAGCAGAGCAAAGAACACCTTGTTCATGTCTCCCTCGTTATCCACTTTGTTGAGCTTGATCGCCTATTCTAAACTTATGCCATATTCTCCTCCATCCCAACCAATCACGCTAAGTCAACAATAGGGCTGGGCAATATCTGATTTTCAACATTGTGATATGTCACCAGATCACTAAGTAGCCCCTTTTAGAGGCAATCCAGTGATCTAGGGGAGACTCATTGCGCTCTCAGCAGCCCCACAGAGAAAGGTCTGGCGCAATGTGATTTAGGCAAGTCACTGGCCCACTCTAGACCAGGAAACCTTGGTTGAGCAAGGCTACGGAAAAGAGCAAGGCAGGGAGGAAAGCACATCTGCACTCATAGCAAAGTGTGTAAACCATTCTGTGGGCAGTGAAGCTCTGAGACCTTCAGTGCACCACATTTACGCAACTAGATTTGCAGGCCTGGGGGGGAAAATCACAGAAGAAGAGAACCTACCGCTGCCCAGTGGTCAGTCCTTTTGTCTTTGTAAAAACTGTGGCTCCTCTTCTGCAGAGGAAGGTAGGGAGAATTTCTTGCTCCTGAGCCATCACGGTCCTGCTTGGTCCATTCTTTGTCAACATCCTTTTAGAGAAAGAAATTTAAAAGAGAACTGAACTCACCAAAATCAAGACCTTGCTTTAATGCCATGAGTCCTTGCAAAGTTTTTATATCTGCCACTGCAGAGAAGTGGCAGAAGGTGTGGGTTTGTCTGCCCATCTGCACAGCTAATACAGCTTGCCAGTGGTGCACCCAAGCCTTGTGGGGCATCATAGATGACATGAGAACAAAAAGACCTAGAATGGTCATTCCCCTCACCCTTTGCTCATTCCTTTCAGTAGCCTTCCCCATCCTAATGCCTTCCAGATGTTGCTGGGCTGCAATTCCCATCACCATGGACCACAGGCCACCCCGGCTGGGGATGATGGGAGTTGGAGTCTAGCAGCATCTGAATGGTTCCAGTTGCAGAAGACTGCCCTGCAGAATACAAGCTATACTCAGTGACTGGTTCTGTAATGTACCTTTGTCCTTTCAAGGAGGAAAGAGTCCCATTGAGATGTCCTTTGTTGGTTCAGCTGGCTGTCCATAGATTCTGGTGGGAAGCTTTGACATACTCTGTTTTGGTCTTGTCTTCCTCTTGTTTCTGGCCCAGAGGGTAAACTGCCCCTTGCTCTGGACTGGCGACTCTTTTCAGAGTACGAACGCTTTAAGTCTGGTAGGTCACAGACCAAACCAGATGTGGCGCGACTCCATTTGGCTCTGCTCTTGACTGCAGAACCGTCATTCTCCAAAGAACTTCCACCTGCACCAGCTTGCTTCTTATCAGCCCCACTCACGTCAACACTGGTGCTCCAGTTGCCCTCTGAATGCACAGCTGACAGTTGCTTCAGGCTCACATCCTTCCCCAAGGCACTGTCACTGAGTACCTGTGGGGGATGAAGGACAAAGCTTTTCTCCAGTTCCACATCCGTACTGACAAGACTGGAGACCTGTGAATTGTAATTAGCATATTTTGCACTTTGGTGCCTTAACACGAGGTCCTCTCCTTGATCATCATCAACAATGAATGTTTTTTTCCTAGTGCTGACTGGATCTGCTGCAGGTGAATACTTTGGTTTTTCTGCAACTGCCCTTGCCTGGAAAGGAGGGCTGAAATTCACATCTATGGCCTTGGAGGGATTCAGCTGCTGGCCACAGTTCCTCAACAGCTCTCTCTCTCTTATGCAGAATTCTGTGGCGTAAATATCCTGCCTAGTGCTTCCTGGAGAATTCCTTTTATGTGCCAATCTCTCCCAAGGAAATGAGCTGCTATCTTCAGGAAGACCACCCTCTTTCTTGCCCAGAGCCACAGAGTCCTTCTTAGAATCTCCTTCATATTGGGCCATCAGTGCATCAATGTCAAGAACTTTTGACCTGTAATAATCAGAGGCCTTACCTTTGGCCATACTGTGGCTGTGGTTGCTACACTTCTTTTGCCCTAAATGCTCACTGTCCCAATGAAGAGGTCTGAAATAGAAGAGAGACTCTGGCCCTGCTAGATGCAGGGGATCTACTTCTATAACCCTCGCTTTAGCATCCTCTAGTCGCTTCTCCGGAGCCATCGAGTTCCCATCTCTGGTCTCAGTTAGTCTATGTTTAAATGTTCCTTTCTTTGGAAGATCTGAGGCACTACCTTCTCCCCCTTCAATCCAGTTCTTTTTAAGATGCCTGTCCATAGAGACATGTGCATCTGTAAATCTTTCACTATATTGGTAATTTGGGGGATAGGATCTTCTGGAAGTACTAGTATTGGGAGTAACTGAAGCATCTTTGGCTAGTGAAGAAATGTGTTTGCTTCTGAGAGGATCAAGTAGTTTTCCAGAGATATTTGCGTTTTCATCAGGGATCTGGTAAGTAATAGCAAAATATGTTGCTTTCGGCTCTGAAGGAGAGAGCTGATTCTTAAGATCATTGTCTGGACTGCTGGGAGTGACTAAACTCCCATCCTGTGGCTCTGCTCCACACCTGGGTTTTGGGTTTCTCTTTGCAATCAATTTGTCATGAAGTTGCAAGGAGTCCCGTCTGCTCAGGGCTTTGCCACTCTCCTGAGCCAGCAGCCCAACTTCCTCAAACTGGGCAGCATCATGAGGCAAGGTCTTCCTTCGCCATCCTTCTGAAGCTTTTGGACCAGAAACATGACGGCCACTTCTCCTGACCATCTCTTCTCCACTGAGCTGTTGATGTTGGTGTACTTCAGCTTTGTGCTCCAAAACATCCCGTTCTTCTTGGGCACTGTATGCCATTGAGCATGTCATTAATCCAAATGCTTTAGATTCTTCTTTCTGCTCGTAAGATATTGTAGGGTCTGCCTCTGGGTGGGGACACTTGCTGCTGTGCTTTTGCCACTGGTAATGGGTCATCCCACACAGAGAAGTCTGGCTCTCCTGCTTACTGGTAATGGGTGAAGAAATGTTCTGACCACCATTTGCTCTGGCTTCACAGCCATCTGTCCTGTCTGGACCTGCTTCAAAACTCTCTGGGAAGCATTTCAGCATTTTGGAACTCTCCATCTTACCAGCAAGAACAGCATCACTTTTTCTTTTTTCTGTCCCTGAAGATAGCTTAGAGACTGTGTCATCTGTTTTCCCCAAATCCTTCTCTCTATTAGTGAAGTATGAAGCTATCACAGTTGCATGCTGCTGTCCAGTCAGATTTTTATCCAACTCAGCTCCTTGCTTGTGGGAAACATGTTGGCTTTGGGAGGCACTAACTTCTTTCAGAGCAGTTACCTTTGTTGAAATTTCCTCTGCGTCTCTTGCTTTGAAAAGGAAAGAGTCATCTTCCCAGCCATCACCCTTAATGTCGGAGCTACAGGTCCAAGAAGCATCCACAGCACTCCCATCCGTTTTTCTCCTCTCTTTCAAAAATCTTCTGCTGCGTAGGGTTACAGCCTTATCCTCAGGCACAACTGCAATTGCCTCGCTTTGCACCCTTTTGCCAACTGTCTGGAGAATTTCATATCTTGGCTCTATCCTTTGGTACATTAATGAGTCCTCCACATGCTTTGCAGTGGGTTTTTCATACTTGTCTTTTGCAGTGTATATCTCTGATGCCTGAGGAACTTTGTCTTCATTTGAAATGTTTGCATTTCTTTGTTTTCCAGCATCTGCTGATATATGAGCCTGCCTGGAGGACACTTTCTTTGGGTTCATTTTAGCCTCCCGAGCTTTTTCTAGCCATGACTCCTTGCCAAATCCTAGCTGCCCCTCAACAAGCTCATTCATTGCCTGCAATGTAGACTCAGCTTCAAAGTGATCAGCAGCTATGTGGTGCCTCTGCACATGGTGCTCAAACATGGTTGCTCTAACAGTTTTAATGCACACATTTTCTATAGAAGGCTTGGAATGTGTTTTCATATCATGATCTGTGACCAAAGCAGGACTTTCACCCTGCAGAGTGACATTTTGAATCTCTATGGCAAAACTACTATCTCTCTCAAGGTGCCCATCTCTGTGTGGGATTTTTAAAGGCTGCTGTAGCTTCCAGGGAGTTCCAGCCGAATGGGCTTCTCTAGAATCTGTTGCATGCAGGAAATATGCCTCATCCTGAAACAATGTAACATTAGAAAAAGATATTTTAGAGCATTTCTAAATGACATCTTACACATATGCCACTCCTGTAGCATTAAAAATAAATAAATCATAAGAACAACCTTGTAACATCCCAGAATTTTATACCAACTCACAAGTTTTGGGCTTTTCTTAAGAAGTTTGTAACATTTCAATAACAACAACCGGAACAGGATATTTCCTGCAAATGGTTTTTGGACTGTAAAACTATAGCAAAAATTGCATGCAGTAAAATTGGACTATTTCCCCCAAATATAACCACTGTTCTCCTCTGATTTGGATGGTGTATGGTTTCATCCTGAAGGATTCAAGCCTGAGCCAATTTCTGCTGAGCCCTGCAGGACCAATGGGCAGTATCCAACTAAGTTCTGCTTAGAGTAGACCCACTGAAATTAATGTACTGAAGCTAGTGCTTTAATAAAATTAAAGAGGTGCTTTAATAAAACATTCAACAACTCTATTAAACTGTTATTTTTCTCCATAGTGAGACCGAGCTAGACTGAGCTAGGAGAGTACATCACCAGCCTATCTGGGACCTCGTGAAAATTTACTAAAGCATGGCAAACTTTAATTGACTGAGATTTAAAAGCAAACTGAACATCTTTTTTTAAGATATAAAAATATGCCTTGACACAAACTGAGAAACAACATGTCTAACAGTGAAACTTCTGTCCATATCCAAGTATCATTATGACAAATGGAATGAAATGTTTAGAGAGAGTTAATTGATGGCATAATGATTAAAACAAACTAGCACTATTCACAGGAGAAAGAAGAGAGGCAGGGAACTCTTTCATAAAAGGCTACTAAGCTTACTGAGGCATTTTGCTATCTTATGCTTAGAAACAACCATATGCATGAGCCAAACAACCCTAAATTAAGGATTTTTCTTTGCTGCCTAGTTCAGCAAAGGAATTAGCAAGCTAAGCACCTTAGGATTAGGTCATTCTTAAAATGCACAAGGTCCACTTCTTGATCAGGCATATGCACAAGCAGAGCCTGACACAATGTCAAAACAGGCTTACATTTAGAAGAACCAAACCCTACAATGCTCTCTCACCTCCTGAATATCTGGCGTTTGACTAACAGGCTTCATGTTTGATTCAGACTGTCGCTCAGGCTTCATAGAATCATAGAATTGAATCATAGAATCATAGAGTTGGAAGAGACCACAAGGGCCATCGAGTCCAACCCCCTGCCAAGCAGGAAACACCATCAGAGCACTCCTGACATATGGTTGTCAAGCCTCTGCTTAAAGACCTCCAAAGACGGAGACTCCACCACACTCCTTGGCAGCAAATTCCACTGTCGAACAGCTCTTACTGTCAGGAAGTTCTTCCTAATGTTTAGGTGGAATCTTCTTTCTTGTAGTTTGGATCCATTGCTCCGTGTCCGCTTCTCTGGAGCAGCATGAGCAGAGCACAAGCAGAGCCTGACACAATGTCAAAACAGGCTTACATTTAGAAGAACCAAACCCTACAATGCTCTCTCACCTCCTGAATATCTGGCGTTTGACTAACAGGCTTCATGTTTGATTCAGACTGTCGCTCAGGCTTCGTGTCACCAGAAGTCACAGGGTTGGAAAACCTGTTTGCAAAGATTCCACTGAGTTAAAAAGGAATGATCTAACCTGAGTAACAAAATTACTAGCCATTTGCTCCAATACAGGCACATCAGTACATTACAGGCAAGCAGCATATTAATTTAGCAAACTTCCAAAAATTCCAAAGCAGCTTTTCATAAAGGTCACTGGAAAAATTAAATTTAATAGCAATGCATCCACTCCAGAAAACCCTGACCTGTCTTACTGGCCATGATGTGTAAATGGATCTCTAATTCTGTCTGCCCTTTGCCCCAGACCTAATGAGGGCCAGCTCTGGATCTAAACAGAGCAGGCACAAGACAATGAGCCACTGGAGCCTGGCCCAGCAACCACCTCCTCCCTCCCTCCTCGGCACCCTGACCCCCCCCCTGCCCACTCCCCTGCCCACCATGACAAGCAGTCAGACTGGGGGAGGGGCACCTTTGTCCTTCCCCTGAGCCACTCCTGACAAAGTGACAACAGGTTGCCTCAGCTTCAGTCTGAGGAAGCAATTGATGGTGCCATGTGCAGGGCTGCCTGAAAGAGTGCTTGTGCCAAAGCCACTTTTCTGCACTTCCAAATGCAATGAAATTAACCTGTGTTTTAAAGCAGTGGTAGTCCAGGCACTCTCTGGTCAAGCTCATCCACAATACCTCACTCTGAGCAAACCTGGGAGAACCCATGCCACTGCTGTGAGAGGGCCGGCAAGCAGAAGGGGGGAGCAGCAGGTGGGCAAGAGGGAGAGTTAGCCGTGTCAACCCCCGTGAACTGCAGGGAGCAACTGGCCCCATTGGCAGATGGAGATGGTGTACAATCTGCTAGCCCTCCCATTAAAACAGCTGAACACACTGAAATATTGCCCATTCAGCTAACAAAAAAACAAACCTATTAGACTCATTCACATACATTTGTTAGTTTGATAGAACTAGCAATGCTTGGTCCTACCTTACATTATGAATTTTGCATTATTAAAAAAATCATTATTTTAAAAATCAAGGGTAATCCTGCTTCTTTCAGGCTGTGCTGAAACCTGCAGGGAATCACAGCCCCCAACCAGAACACACCATTTTAAAGAAACAGTGTGCTGTCAAAGGGCATCACTGACACTCCTTTCCACACCAGCAACTGCCCCTATCAATTTGCAAGGCAAAATGCCAATGCTTGTGCAGACAGATAAGATATCAAGAGCAACTGAGGCAGTAGGAGAATGAGAATAGTGGAAATGTTCTAAAAATAACATTTTATCTGAATTTATGGAGTTTACATCTAAATCTTCCAAAACTTACAGTTTGGTCAAGTCTGCAGAAAGAGGCCGCGAGCGGAATGACTGGCGCAGGTTTCCTGGCTTGGTCTCTGTATTTTCAGCAGTCAGTTCTCTGATCCTCTGCTGGATGTTCATGATTTTGTTTTCTTTCCCAGGACTTTCTGGGAAGGATTCAGCATTCACTGGAGGTGCACAGCTTTCAAATGCATCTGGTAAATTCACATTTTTTTTTATAGTGCCTTCCCTCAAGCTTTTGTTTTTGGTGTCTGAAACATTTGCAGAGATTTCACTAAAGGCACAAGTTCCCTTGTGGTTTGGTGCCATTCTCTCTTTGCCAGACAGCCCTTTGCTACGGGGTGGCTCTGTGTTTTTTCCTGAAGTTGCTGCAATATCTGTTTCTCTCCCATTTTCTTCCTCTTGGCTGTTAAGCCTCATCTCCCATTTTCTGTCCTTTGCAGAGACTTGATTCAAGTCTTTTGGAGTGTTCCGGCCTAGGGACCCAACTTCATTTGAAGAGGGTTTCTGGATTTGAGCAGTAGTTTTACTTTTAATACCCAGGCAGTCATCAACCTGAGTGGCACTTTTCAAATGTGACTTGGAAGAATCCACTTTGTTTAACCCTTCTGTTTCACTCTTGGTCCTCAGTTCAAATGGTCTGCTGCTGCCCTCATTGGTAAGAAGGTTCCTCTCCTTGCTTTCAGATGGGCAAGATTTCCTTTGAATTGAAAAGTCTCGGATTTCAAATTTTGCTGTAAGATCCATGGATAGTGGGCGAGGCTTCCTAACCCAGGACTTTTCATGATTAGGTTTTTCATCAGAAACATCAGTTCCACACTGCTTTTGATCCTTTAAGGACTCCAGAAAAATGGCAGACACTGGTCTCTGTTTGGGCCTTGGCTGCTCCTCGCTAGCCAAACTAGCGCTGCTCTGCTGCTTTCCAACATTTTTAGGCCTTTCCTCAGTAGCACCTGAAAAGGACTCTTTCCTTTCGAGAGATCTGTGAGGGTTGCAGGAGACAGGCTTGGACTCTGAGGAAACAGAAAATTGCTGGTGAATGGCAGCACCTTCAGGTCTTCTGTAGGACATTTCTGATTCTGAGGGAAGCTGCCTCTCCTGCGCCCGTAAAGTGCTGTATGTTTTCTCAGAAGATAACTTCATCCTTGTTTCCTCAGTACTTCTGGTTTCAAATAGGATTACTGTGTTAGCCTGGGGACTGGAATAAAAGGGCATATTTGCAACAAACTCACTTGTGCTTTTGTTCTCGATTAATTTTTGCTCTACCAAGGGAGGAATGCTTCCACTAAGCATTCCCTTAACATCTGCCACATTGTCTTCAACGTTTTTGGCAAATGCCAAGGGTCTGCGGGCGACGTTGCCAGGTTTGGCTGTGGGGACAGGAGCTTTCACCGCTGCAAAAGTGTCCCAAGACTTCTCCCTTGAGAATGGCTTCGGAGTTAATCGTGGCCTTGAAGTAGCTGGAGGCATTGTTGCTGGTCTCATAGGGTTCCCAAATGTGCTCCTTCCTTCTGAAATTTGTGGGGACACAGAACTTGGATGTTCATTGGACTTGTTGCTTGTATCAGAAAGACTGCTGGCAAAGGTGTGTTGAAGTGTTGCCTCATTCACAAGCTCGCTTCGATTGGTCAGGGATGTCAGGACAGAGCTGACTTCAACTTTCGTTGCCATCGCTCTCATTGCCATCCAGGGGAATTACAAAGAACCCGTGAGGAAGAACATGCTATAAAAAAGCAATAAAATTAGGTGTTACTGCCCCTCAGTTCAACAAATGGGATGTGAACAAGCAGACATGGACATGGATGGAAATGGACGGGTGGTGACAGGATTCTAACAATGTTTTTAATATCAAGAGTTTCTTATTTGGAGTCATCTTTTCCAATAAATATTTCTGTGGGTACCTTTTGCCCACATAAATGATTTCCATGTAGAAAATGCAAGTTTCTCAGATTCAGACAATCATTCTCATTTGCAAAGGCACACTTGTAGTTGAACATATTGTCCCAGCCCAGCCCTCTTTGTTGTCTATTTCCACTTGATTCCCAATGCACTTTCCATCACAAAAACACAGTTGCAAATATCCGGAAGGAAGGAAGGAAGGAAGGAAGGAAGGAGCGGCATTTGAAATCCAATGGTGCATCAGAAGCGGACGTGTGCTTCCAATGAATTTGTTGTAGTAACATCAAACCCACAAGACACTTTCTAGTACCCCCCTTTCACACAAACCACACTGACCTTAGTCTCCCTGGCCACTGGAAAAAGAGGCAAGCTGGATCTGGAGACATTCTGCAGAGTCTCCTCTCCATGCATCACATGAGAAAAGTGTTGCTCCTCCTCCTGTGAATAACAACAGGTCTTTTTAAGAAGACAACATTCAGAGGCAAAGGAAGAGCCTGAGAACATGCAAACGCACATGCTTTACTCAAACTGCTGTGTAACCTCTCCACTTGAGCTGTGTCGCTCATCGGACGTCGTCTTAGGATACTGACTGACTGCACAACTTTGTAAGGAAAACGGCAGCTGGAACTGAGGAATCAGCAACAAGACCAAGAAGCAAGGAAGGGTGAGGAAGTGACAGAAATCTAGAAATCTAGACTGATGCAGCACAGCATACTTAATTTCAACAGGCTCTAATAAGGATGATGAAACCAGATGGCAGGAACATCTCTCGCTTATGTGAAAGTAATTGTCTAGCTCTTTCTTAATGGTGTTGTTGAAACCATAACAGTTAAACAGGATTTTGTTGACTTAAAATTTTTGTATTACATTTTTGAATTCTGTATTTTTGTGACAACCTTTGCTGGGAGCCTTTCTTGCTGAAGGAGGTATAGAAATAAATGTTAACAATTACTGTACATTTTAAAGTGTCATCCGTTTGCCACAGGAGCCTGCCCTCTTGTACTCTGTGAAACACAATGTGTACATTTATGTTACTAAATATACTGTATATACTCGAGTATAAGCCGACCTGAATATAAGCCGAGGCACCTAATTTTCCCACAAAAAAACTGGGAAAACTTATTGAATTAAGCCGGTTCACCACACCACAAACCTCCTGGTAGGCCGGAGTGCGTGTGTGCATGCGCGCATGCGCACACGGCAGAGGGGGCTTCTCTCTCTCCCCCCCCAGCCCCTCCTGTCCCCCTGCCTACGTAGGGTGCTGCTGAGAGGCAGAGGCTGGTGGCGGCAGCGGCGGAGGAGGAACAAGAAGCCCGAAAGCCTCTGCCGCTGGAAATGCACTCAGGTGGGACCCTCACTTGAGTATAAGCCAAGGGGGGCTTTTACAGCATATAAAATGTGCTGGAAAAGTCGGCTTATACTCGAGTATATACGGTATATTATTTTCTTTCATTACTAAACAATAATGTCACCCATATGATCTCTCTGGCACTTCTAGGAAGGGCTGGGAAAGAACCCTGCCTGAAGCCCTGGAAAGACAGTACTAAATATAATGGCAAGTCCAAGGTCTGGATTTGTAGCAGGCGATGTTCCAATAGAAAAAGTCACTCTCCATCACCATGGGAAGTGGGGTGGGAGTGTGGTGTACCAGAACGAGAGCCGCTTGCCTAGCTGCTCTATCTCCTGTGCTTCCATGAGCTCCTGGCAGCATAGGATGGCACTGGTTCCTTTACGGAGCAGCTGGACAAGCGGAGGCAGAGGTGGGAAGAGTCCCCAGCCTCTCCTGCTAAATACTCAGTCAGCAGCCAGGGATCGCACAGCCTGTGGTCACACACCCAGCAGAGAAAGAAGGGAGCCACCAGATTTTGCCTTCCCGTTGCAGCAGTGACCTGTTTGTACTTTGCAAAAGACATGACGAGAGACACGAATCGAGAGACTCTGCTGCAACAAAACACGTGAGGCAAGTAACTGTGTGTAGCTATTGCTTCGACAAACCTTGATGATCAACAACAGTACTTAAGGATTTGTGGGTGTTTGGGATACTCTTGAAGAACATTTTCTGTGAGAAGAGGCTTCCTATTATTCGAGTCATACTATTATGAAAGAAACTGTCTGAAGTTTGTTATGTCTAGTAAACTGCTAAGAAACTCATGAGCAATATTATCAGATTTTTCTATAAAAACATTTAACCTTACCTATTATAAGAAAAAGTAAAAAGCGATGTTTTTGTATATATTGGAAGTAGAGATGGGAAGGCCGGGGGGGGGGGGAATGGAAAAATTCCATTTTCTTCCAAAGCCGTTTTTTTCCAATTTCCCTGGTTTTCCCCCATGACTTCCCATCTCTAGTTGGAAGCTGCCCAGAGTGGCTGGACCAACCCAGCCAGGTGGGCAGAGTAAAAATAAAAGAAGACGAAGAAGACGACGACTATCTCTTTTCTTGAAAGAGAAAAATGAAATCGCTCAGTGGGGATAAAAGGAAAAATACCTAGGAATTATTGGCTGGTGAACGTCACTTTAAAATTGTCGAGCTGATAACCAAGTGGCAGGCGGCCCCAATGCTTCCAGTGTTCTTAGTAAAGTATACTGCTAACGAGAAACTGCCCTGAAAATCGATGGACTCCTATTGCAAAAGAAAACTGAAAGCTGTTAAGCTCATCCAAGTTTCTCCATTTCTCTTATCAAGTCCCATTTCTTTTAATTGTACTTTAAGACTATTTTAACAGGATAAGCTGAAATAACTTTAACACAGTTAAGGGGTCACTGAATGTTAATATGCAATTATGAATTAATTGCATGCGGGGATCTTCCTTCCATACTTTTTGAATAGATTTCCCAAAAGATATAGTAGATAAAGTTTAAGTTTTGTGCGTTATATTCAAACTATGATAACTAGAATTTCTGTTTACTATCTCATCTGTAAACCAGTTTACACAATTTACATTAAATAACAAGGTGAGGTTTGGGACCTGAAGGCTCTTTTTTGTCATAAAAGATTTTTTGCTTTTAATCTTGCTTTCTTTATTGTTCCATATAAATTTCAGAATAAGTTGTTGCCACTGATGAATTTACTAATTCTAATTGGATCCTAATTGGAAAATATTGAAATAAAAATTATTCTAGACTTTTCTGAAGTTGCTCTGCATGTATGACTGCACAGAGATCATGAAAGTGGAGGACACCTTTGCAGACCCACAACATTCTTTGCTTTTAAAAAAAATGCTCGCAGTTTTATCTTCTGCATGTGCCTCTGTATACAACCCTGCACTTAGATCTTTGATCCTTAATCACCCAGGGCACAAGTCCTCATGGGAGCATCCTACACACAAGAACAGGAAGAATGGAATCAGGCTAGAGAAGGTTTGGCACGCCCTAGGAACTTTGCCCTTTGCCGTCGGCGAAGCAGACAGCCCAGGGGACTGGCAAGAAACCACACAGAATGCCTCACCAAAGATCATTGGGCAGGAGTGTTCCCAGGCAACCCCCGACTACTGTTGATTCACTGCCCTGATAATCTTTAGTCTTACAACCTTGATCTTTAGATTTACAGGCTTATAAAAAGGGTGCTGCAATGCGCGGTGCAAATTTATTCAAAAGGCCGTCTGTTTTGCTCTACAAAAGACTTATGTGGTGAACACTTGCTCAGTGAAATCAACAACTTGAAAACATGATCAGCACCCCTGCTCACATGCATCACAATCAAGCAATCAGAAGTGTCCATCAGTATGCAGGATGGATGGTCCATCTTAATTAGGAACTTACCTGGCACTGACCACACTCCACAGAGTGCATTATTTGACTAGTTAATGGTTTTTCAAAAAATAAGGGCAGCCATTGCAGCAGAAGACATGCATTCATACGTCTCTCTCAGTACACAACTTAGGGAGCCAAATCCCACTATTAGTGACACAGCAACACAAGTGGATTTTTAATTTATTATTGTAAACCAGCAGCTTTATGCCTGCGCTTGCTTAGGAATGCTAAGAAACAAACAAACAAACAAAAAACAGTGCAGTTTTGAAATCAATGTTTAAACTCAGTGCAGTTTTTAAGGGTTCAGTCCGCAATCTTGATTAAAAAGGGAGAAAAACGTGGTTTGATCTCAGGAACCATCATGCAAATTTTGGCTACACTATCTTAAGAGGAGTTCAAATGCATAGTGAGTTAGTGAACAAACAACTTTCTGAAATATATTGCATGTGGTTCTATGGAAATAAACCAGGGAGGAGGGGTGTTATTTCCACATAGTAAAAAAAAAAAAAGTATTTCCTGATAGTAAACAAAAATCCCAGGCACTTGACCAGTTTACTACTTAGAACTTGGATAATGCAGCAAAAGCATTTGAAATACTGATTGAGGTTCCTTCCCATGGCTCATGAATTTGTTGCATCTGAAGGCAGCCCTGTTTACGGAAGTTTTTTATATTTGATGTGTTATCATGTTTTTAATAATTCTGTTGGAAGCCACCCAGAATGGCTGGGAAAACCCAGCCAGATGGGTGGGGTTGTTGTTGTTGTTGTTGTTAGCTGGGGAATCAATTATTTAAAGACAATTATGAAAAATGTTGGTCGGAAATTAAGAAGGATTTGGAAACTTGGTCAAAGTTGAAACTTTCCTTGTTGGGCAGAATTGCAGCTATAAAGATGAATGTATTGCCGAAAATGTTATTTTTGTTTCAAACCCTACAGATCGTGGACAGAGTGGAATGTTTTGGAAAGTGGCAGAAGGATATATCTAAGTTTGTCTGGCAGGGCAAAAAGCCCCGAATAAAGTTTAAAATATTAACTGATTCGAAAGAAAGAGGGGGGTTTGCCCTGCCGGACCTGAGGTTGTATTATGAATCTGCAGCCTTTTGCTGGCTGAAGGATTGGTTTCTGTTGGAGAACACTGATGTCCTGGATCTGGAAGGGTTTGACAATGCTTTTGGTTGGCATGCTTACCTGTGGTACGACAAGGTCAAAGTTCAAAAATTATTTAAAAACCATATTGTCAGAAGAGCAATCTTTGCGGTTTGGTCGAAATATAAAGACTTACTGGAGGGCAAGACCCCGAGATGGCTTTCACCGATGGAGGCCAAGGCTAGGAAAAGACCTAACATGGAGGCCTACTGGACAAAATATTGGGAAATAATTGAAAAAGTTGGAGACAAATGGAGGTTGCAGAGCCAAGACAAACTAAAAAATAAGGTGCGGGATTGGCTACATTATGCTCAAATTCAAGAGGTTTTTAAAATGGACAAAAAAGTTGGTTTCCAGGTGGAAAAATCGAAATTAGAGACGGAATTGTTAGAATCAAAAACTAAGACACTTTCGAAAATGTATAACTTGCTGCTTAAATGGAATACACAGGATGAGACAGTTAAATCTGCCATGATAAAATGGGCACAGGATATTGGACACAACATTATGTTTGAAGACTGGGAAAGGTTATGGAACACCG